TGAGCCGGGATCCTGCCACTGCATTCCAGCCTGGGCGGCAGAGCCAGACTGTCTCAAAAACAAAAACAAAAGCAAAACAAATAAACATGATGCAGTTAGAAAGTGAGCCCTTGAAGAAGTCAGCCAAGACAAGATGTTCGCCACAATTTGCCTTTAATGTTACATCTGCGCCTGCACAAATCTTTAGAGACACCTGGTGGAGTGTTGATAGGTTTACAGCAAGTATTAGAATGTGCTGAATGTGCTTGCTTACTTCCAAGGTGAGAAATGCACTAAAGAACATCCTGGTTCCCTTATCAACTCAGCTTTCAAATAACTGGAAAGAACCTTCAGATAGGGCAAGTCTAGCTCGCCAGTGAGCTGCGTTTGGGCCTCACTAGCAAATATGACAAAAATTTAGATAGAACAAAAGACAGTAAATTTAAAAGTAGAAATGCGACTGATTTGGGGCTGGCTACATAATTGGTGAGACCAACTGTAAAATGAAAATGTGGGGCCCCTTGTTCAAAAAGTAGGGAGAAGAGTGTCCTTAACGGCACATAAAGGAAAAAGAGTTTTACTCACTTCCTTGGTCTCTCTCAACTTGACATGGGTTTTGGGTTTTGGGGGTTTTGTTGTTTTTGTTGCTATTTGATATCATTATTGGTAAAGAAAAATAAAAATGTTAATGATTATTCTGAACTTTAATATTCATCTTTACCTCATGCAATGCCAGTTTTTCTTTTTTCTCTCTCTCTCCTTGCTCTGTCACCTAGGCTGGAGTACAGTGGTGCCATGTTGACTCACTGCAACTTCACCTCCCAGGCTCAAGTGATCCTCCCACTTCAAACTCCTGAATAGCTGGGACTACAGGCATGCACCATCACACTTAGCTAATTTTTGTATTTTTAGTAAAGATAGGGTTTTGCCATGTTGGCCAGGCTGGTCTCCAACTCCTGACTCAAGCAATCTGCCCACCTCGCCCTCCCAAAGTGCTGGGGCAGCCCAATGCCAGTTTTAAATGCAGATCTGAGAGTATTTAACTCATCTGTGGAATCACCAAAATTACATAAATAATTTTTCACAGTTCACACACAAATATGTTTTGTTCTTACCATAACAGCGAAAACATTGCAGGAAACTAACTCTTTTTATTTCACTTCTTGATACCCCAGCATCCTACCAGCCCTCTCTACCTTCAGCTTACTGGCAAGAAAGACCTGAAAAGAAAAGGACCTCTCTGTGGCCCTATCTTTCCCTTTCCTTCTGTGCCATTATTTCAGCCTATGTGATTGGCTAATATAGGAAAATGACACAAATTGGAAAGGGCATGGTAGGTTTCCTTAGACTTTCATGTTTCTTAAAACGTCAATGCCTTCTTTTTGTGTTGGAAGCAGGTTCTGGTTCCATCAGCACCCCAACTTGCTCAGTCATCACCAATGTAATGCATTTACCACGCACTTGCTTTGAATCTCATTCAATCCCCATACACCACAGGTCCACAGCTGTGCTCACAGGTGCTGTGAACACTATGTGACCAGAACTGCAAGAGGATGAAGCACACACATATCATACATTTCTCCTCCTATTTTGTATAATTATAATAAGGAGAGGATCAAAGTATGATTTCAGGAATCACATGGTTTATTGCTATACAAAGATTCTTTTTTTTAATGCTGAAAGAGGGGGAAAATAAAGAGTAAGTCTCACAGAGCTTATACTCCATAGATGAGGTGCATTAACCACATAATTAGTTCTAATTTCATCTCAAGCCCAATTATTAAAGTTTGGTTGCTGAGAATGGAAGCAGGCCTCTGTAAGGGAGATCTGAGACCATCTACAAGATCCCCTGACACTGGGAAGTGGTGCCAGTGCCCTGTGGGCTGGCGAGGCTTTGAAGGCTAGCACGAAGGCTGACACGTATTAGCCCTGCCACAGCCTCAGCTCCCAATTTGTCTGCCAAAATCTTGGGTCTATATGTGTTTTGGAGGCTAGTTGTTGAGGCCAATAACTCACATATGTGGTCTGATAAAGTGTGATGTAACATTCCAACAGTGAAGGGAACTATGCTCCCTGTTCTTATCACAGCAAAACATCTGTCACTTATGCAGAGTGTTTGGAATCTTTTCAGAGCTACATAACATCTCCATTCGTGCACATGCTACATTGCCCCTCCTTTAACTTACAAAACTTATGAATTTAAAGGTAAAATTTTTAAGAACTTCAACCTGGCAATAGCAGAACCCAGCATGGCACCATTTTGATGGGGGAGTTTTGTGAGATGGCACAGGTCATAAGCCCATGAAGCCAGCCCGGGACTGGTTTGCTTTTTGTAAGTGGGTAAAGGGAGAAAACTCTTAATCTTGCATGATCAAGGCTCCTTTAAAATAAGGAACTTTGAAAATACAGGCTAGAAAAGAAAAATTGTATTTAGAAATTACAGGCATTTTGTTAGAGCCAGAACTTGGGCAAGCCTTGAATATCAGATAGAAATAATAAATACATAAAACCTTTTTTGGCCAGGCATGTTGGCTCACACCTGTAATCCCAGCACTCTGGGAGGCTGAGGCGGGTGGATCACCTGAGGTCAGGAGTTTGAGACCAGTCTGACCAACATGGTGAAACCCTGTCTCTACTAAAAATACAAAAATTAGCCAAGTGTGGTGACACATGCCTGTAGTCCCAGCTACTCTGGAGGCTGAGGCACAGAATCGCTTGAACCCAGGAGGCAGAGGTTGCAGTGACCCGAGATTGCACCATTGCACTCCAGCCGGGGCAACAAGGGGCACTCCATCTGAAAAAACAAAGAACCTTTTTTAAAGGTGTCCATGATCAAAACAGCAGCTTCATCAGACCAGTTTCAAGGGTCTATTGGCATGCATACCATACCTGGGCTTTGGAGTTCTCTGGCATTCTAGGGGGACATTTGCAGTTACTTAAGTTTGCTTTAGAAACATGTTTTTCAGCCTAACTGCCAACCCAGATAGAATTAGAACTGCTCAACATGGATGGCAAAGGTTACAACTTACTGCGTATGCTCTCTTTTTGCATTTAGCACTTAAAGAAAAACATAAAAAGAAAACTTGGAAATAAGAAGAAAAATGTAGACAATGTTTGTTTGCTTCTTTCCCATTTGGTCAAACAGCAAATGTGTGCCTCTGTATTTTACCTTTTCTGCCATAGGATGGGCAGTGCTGTTTTTGGTACAGTAGGTGTGTTTAAGGCTGATGAAAATAACAACATACTCTGGGATGTGAATACGGGGCCAGGAGTGCTCAGTTTCTGTGGTCTGGGCTGAGTGAACAGACTCCTTAAGTGGAATGGCTCAGCAGCACGTACACAGTAGAGAGCTGATACAAGTTTGTCTGCATTCTGAGCACTCAACAGACAGAGGCAGAAGGTGTGGTTGGAGAGGAGGGAACAGCAGACCTCCAGGCGAGTTGCCAAGGTCAAGATTCTCAGAGATTTTTCATAGGACTCAGGAGAGGAATAACTGTACTTGCATTTCTCTTTTATTCCATTATGCTTTTGTTGCCAGGAAGTTCCTTTTCCTTATCATTTTGATGAATGCACATATTTAGGGCACTTTTAATTCTTTGGAGGATGAAGTGGATAAATGCATCATAAGTAGATAAGTAAGTGTGGGTAAGAGTTGAAATTATCTTGCTATGAATGTCATGAGGCCTCAGTGATAAGGCCAACGGATATAATCAGAGGCCAAAAGCTGGGACAGCTCAGTTGCAGTGAGTGATAGAGATTGCTAGTTGTCCTCAAATGCCTGGTTCCCAGGTGCTAAAACTCCTAATTTTTGGCTGCGTACATGGCTTCTCAGAGTGGAAGCTTCCCTTGTAGCCAAGTGTACTCATGTGACAAGGTTCTGGCCAAAGGGATGAAAAATCATCCACTCCTTCCTTCTTCTTTGTCTTTCCCTCTATCTTGCGGCCCAAAATGCAGATCCTGTTTTCACAGTCTGGAGTTGGGAGAGCAGTGAGATGGAAGGAGCGTGAGTTCCTGAGGACTTTAGGGTACAGCCGCCTTTCAACTCTGGACACACTTACCACTCCATTTCCCTTAAGTGAGGGACAAAATAACAATGGCTTAAGTAAAATAAAAGTGATTTCTCCCTCACTTAAGGGAAATGGAGTGGTAAGTGTGTCCAGAGCTGAAAGGCTATACCAGTAAGCAATCGGCTTAACTAGAAGAGGCATAAATGGCAAGGTAACAACGGCCTACGTAAGATAGATAGTGCTCTCTTACTTACTGCAGACGTATTCTTGCTGCACTTCCTCCAGACACAAGGGCTCTCTTAGGGACTTCACACTGACGTTCGATAGTCTGTTTTTTATACTCTAATCATTATAACACAGCAGAAAGCCCTTTACCAAATGCTTATCCCTTGGCACTTCACAATCTTATCCAGGAATTCTATTATAAAGGGGTCAGAAGCCAGAGCAAAAGATTGGCAACTGACATAGCACAATGATCTTCAGCCTCTACTTAGTGTAGGAGTCAGTCCTTAGGAACAGCTGGGCTGAGTCAGAGGTGATGCTAAGTGGAAGCAGATGGCTGTTGGCGTAACAGGTGAAAGGAAGTGTAGAAAATGTATTAAAAAGAAAATCTTGAAACTTAACTTAGCAAGTAAACATCTAACCAGGTGAAAAACATCTAACCATTAGCAAGTAAAGCATCTAACCAGATTGTGCTATGGCAACCAGGACTATAAAAATTTTGCTCATTATTTTAAATGATATAATGCTAGTAAACATCTACGACAGCACTTGGAATCTAGTGCTAAATACATATTAGCTATTAATGTAATATTATATTATGTTATTATATAAATGAAGCCCATTAATAAATTATCTGACTTGCTGACTAGATAAAGTGAAAGCTCTCTCTTTTCCTTATTTCATGTTTTGGTCTTCTGACTACATCATACATGAACAGTAAAAATATTAGTAGCTACTATGTTAGAGATGTTTTATATGTATTATTTCTTTTGCTTCTTATTTCTGAAACAGGCCATAAATCGTTTCATCAGATGAAGAAATGGATTCAGAGGGCTTACATGACTTAGTATCTAACAAGATCACATAGCAGGTAATGAGTCCAGGTCCATTTAACGCCCAAACCCATGCTCTTTCCCTTATACTGATCCTGACTTTTTCCTTGGTAGCAAACTACATATAGAGTTTCATCTGTGGTTCACTTTGGCCTATTGAAGCAAAATGGTGGACAAGAATTATCCTATAGTCACGTGTTTGTAGCAGATTTAAAATCAGTTTGAGAAAATAGGGTAGTATATGATTACACAAAAGAAGCAATAAATTGGTAGTTATAACATGGGAAATGCAAGAAAAAACCAGCAAAATATAAATGAGTAACTTAGAGATAGGGCCTAGAAAAGAAAAAATACTATTATGTCATATTCACTAATTGCTTTTATTAGTGAATTAGCAACTTCATGAACTATGGCTTCATGAACTATGTTCATCAAGTTGTAAGATAAACTACTTTATTCCAAATTTAAAATGATTCTCCCATTACAAAAACTGAACTATAGCGATGTCTAAAAGTGGAATCCAATACTGGACAACATTTATGTGAACAGCTAGTTGGCGCTTGTGACTAAGTAAGCTGCCCTGTTACTTAGCTTTCTTTATCCTTGTTTTTGTTACTTATTACCTTTTCTGGGTTGAATCTCTTAGTTTATAGCTATGTACCCTCATGTCTGCTCGGGTCTGAAGACAGCAAGGATTCTTACGAATGTACATCAGCTACCCAAGTAATTTATTAAGTACTCTTATTGGTAGGCAATACTAACTGGAAATCAAGGAAGGTAGCCCCTCCTCCTTAGTCAGATGGTCCCTCCTCGTATTGTAACTCCTACTAACATAACATGTGGCTATGTGTTTAACTAAAACAAGAGCTGCATGAAACAGCCTTTGCCCTTACTAAGTGTGATGCATTCTGATATTTTTTATCGTGTTTTTTTTCTTTTCTTTATTTGTCTTCATTTATCGTATTTTTTAAATTGCATTTTAGGTTTTGGGGTACATGTGAAGAACATGCGAGACAGTTGCATAGGTACACACGTGGCAGTGTGATTTGCTGCCTTCCTCCCCTTCAGCTGTAACTGGCATTTCTCCCCATGCTATCTCTCCCCAGCTCTCCACTCCCTCTGTCCCTCCCCTATTCCCCCCAACAGACCCAGTGTGTAGTGCTCCCCTCCCTGTGTCCATGTGTTCTCATTGTTCAACACCCACCTATGAGTGAGAACATGCGGTATTTCATTTTCTGTTCTTGTGTCAGTTTGCTGAGAATGATGTTCTCCAGGTTGATCCATGTCCCTACAAAGGACACAAACTCATAGTTTTTGATTGCTGTATAATATTCCATGGTGTATATATGCCACATTTTCCCTGTCCAGTCTATCATCGATGGGCATTTGGGTTGGTTCCAGGTCTTTGCTCTTGTAAACAGTGCTGCAATGAATATTCATCATCAACAATCTGGATATCCACTCAGAGACCCAATCTGAAAATCAGCAACTACACAGATGACAAATGGATAAATCCACAAAGATGGGAAGAAACAAGCGCAAAAAGAAGGAAAACATCCGAAACCAGAACACCTCTCCTCCTACAAGGGATCACAACTCCTCACCAGCAAGGGAACAAAGCTGGATGGAGAATGAGTGTGATGAAATGACAGTATAGTATTTTCTTTCAGTTTTAAACACTCTAATCAGAAGCTGAATACATTGCTGAGTGTCTACAGTCCCAGGTACTCCAGGGGCTGAGGTGGGAGAATCCCTTGCGTCCAGGAGTTTGAAACTGTGGAGTACTATTGTCATGCCTGTTGATAGCCACTCCACTCCAATCTGGGCAACATAGTGAGACCTCATCTCTAAAATAAATAAATAAACAAAGAAATAAACAATCCATTCATCACCCACTAAATTGACCCATGACCCACTACTTTAAGACTTGATAATCTGAGATGGAGATAGTAAAATTCTTTAAGCAAAATTGTAAACCCTAAATACCTCTCTATTTTATGTCCATTGGTTGCACAGTGATAACAGAACTATTGCAGCCTGGGGAATAAGTGATGGGTTTCCATGGGAGGTGTGGAGGATGTCCCAAAACTTGCATGTTAAAAAATATTTTATTTTATTTATTTTCTTGTTGGGATGGAATCTTACTCTGTTGCCCAGGCCGGAGTACAATGGCCCAGGCTGGAGTGCTCTGTTGCCCAAGCTGGAGTTGCCTAGTCTTGTGTATATAGTTTTAAATTGTATTCTTATAGGTATCAAATAATCTTCACTACTAAAAATCATTCTAAATGAGTTCTGCAAATAGTCTAGTAAATGACATTTAAAATACTTTTTATCAGGCCGGGAGTGATGGCTTACCCTTGTAATCCTAGCATTTTGGGAAGCTGAGGCATGTGTATCACCTGAGGTTAGGAGTTTGAGACCAGTCTGGCCAAAATGGTGAAACCCTATATCTACTAAAAATACAAAAATTAGTCTGGCATGGTGGTGTGTGCCTATAATTCCAGCTACTTGAGAGGCTGCAGTGGGAGAATGACTTGAATCTAGGAGGCAGAGGTTGCAGTGAGCTGAGATAGTGCCACTGAACTCCAGCCTGGGCAACGACAGTGAGACTCTGTCTCAAAAAACAAACAAACAAAAAATCAACTACAAATCAAATGTATGATTCCACTTATCTGAGATACCTAGAGTAGTCAAATTCATAGAGACAGAAAGTAGAATGGGGGTTGCCAGGGCCCAGTGTGGAGTAGGGGAAATAGGGGGTTATTTAATCCGTGTGGAGTCAGGCAAATGAAGAAGTTCTGGAGATGAGTGATGTCACTGGTGGTAGAAGAATGTGAATGCTTAATGCTACTAAACTGTACACTTAGAAAGGGTTAAAATGGTCAATTTTAGGTTATGTGTTTGTTACTACAGTTTTTTTAAGTGAAAAAACTGGCTACGAGTGGTAGCTTATGCCTGTAATCTCAGCATTTTGGGAGGCCAAGGTGGGAGAATCACTTCAGCCCAAGTGTTTCAGGACAATCTAGTCTACATAGTAAAACTCTTCTCTACAAAATATATTTTTAAGTTAAAAAAACATATATCAAAGATGCTTAAAGATGAGCGAATCTGAATGATTTAGGTTTTATACTCTTCTTTAGCTGGGTGGTTTTTTGAAAGAACCAAAAAAAGTAAAACGGACATGAGTCAGGCACTAATAGATAAAAACTGAGGGTTTAAATCAGTGCTGCGTAGAAATATAAAGCAAGCCACACATGCACTTTTAACTTTTCTTGTAGCTCTGTTCACAAAAGCACAAAGGAAACAAGGAGAACGAATTGTAGCAATATATTTTATTTAACTCTACATTCCCAAATATAATTTCACATTATAATCCATATAAAGAATTATGATTCTTTTATTTTTGCATAAAATTTAAACATCCTGATTTTTAAATAAAAGCCAGTGCACATGTTCACCGCACATCTCAATTCAGACTAGCTACGTTTCAAGTGCACAGTAGCCACTGAGACTACCATTTGGGCAGTATCAATCCAGATTACCAATAGATGAGATCATGATTCTCAGGAGAATCTGGACAATCAGATCATAACCATTACAATTTAGACAACCGTAGAACTAACCTGCTACATGCATGGCCTATCTCATGGTGTATTAATATGATAAGTTGATTTTTTAAAATCGGTCCTGGTGGAAAAAGAAAAAGCTACACATTTCCCAGTTTAACGACACTCCTGCCTATATTCTAAGGGAAATAATATATTAACTCTGTCTATACATTATTTTGCCTACCTTGATATGGCAATTTAACCACATAATGAGTTTCTCCCAATACCTGTCCTACTAACTTACACCACTATGGTCATAGTTTGACTTGCTTGAAAGATTGAGGGTGATAAGCCATCTTGACATAGAGCTTCCTGCTCTTAGAAATACTCGACCCAACGTGGGTGAATTTAAACATTGCCTCTCAGGCAACCCATTCTCAAATCCAGCTGGAAGGGATGAACTTTTGCTGTAGGGAGAAATGGCCAGTTTCCAGTATTCTGTCTGTTAGAAGCTCTCATTCTTGCTGTATTCCATGAGAATGGAAGACAAGTGGCTTAACCATTACTTTCCCTTCCTAACTCTTTATAGGGCTGATAGCCAGGACTCGAATATTAGCTTTGATAGTAAGCCAATGCTTCTATGTCACAAAAGTCCGTGGCTTACTTTCAACATTAAAGTGATTGTTTGACATTGAGAATTTAACTGACCAACTATAAGAACTAATTCTCAGCATAGCAAAGGTTTCTGAAGTGTTTTGGAAATAATGGGTAGAAGTAAAGATGTAGTTGATACTGCATATTAGTTCTTGTTCAGCTTCTGAGCCGAATTCATTCAGTCCCCACTTATTTAACACTGACAATGTGCTTAGGCAATGAAGATACATGATATATGAAAACCCCTGCCTTTGTGAAGCCAACATTCTAGAGGGGGAAGCTGACAAAGCAAATTGTAGCTTCTATGAGGAGGCAGTGAGTACCAAGGAGGGCAAAACAGGGAAGGAAATAGGATGTGCAGGATGGGGTGGGAAAATGTGGGTTGCAAGAGAGTGATGAGTGAAGATCATACTGATACAGTGACATCTGAGCGAAGTTTTGATGGAGATGAGGGAGGAAACTGTGCTGATATCTGGAGAAAGCTTTCCAGTTAGAACAGCAAGTGCAAAGGTTCTGAGGCAGAGGAAGGATGCCTGGCAAGTTCAGGGCACAGCAAGCAAGGCAGTGTGGCTGGAACAATGTGAGCAAGGGAAAGGTCATCTTAGACCGTTGGGATTCTGTAACAAAATATTATGAACTGGGCAGCTTTTAAATAACAGAAATTCATTTCTCACAGTTCTGAAGGGTGGGAAGCCCCAGACCTAGGCAGATTCAGTGTCTGGTAAGGGCCTGCTTTCTGGATTACAGAATGCACCTTCTTGCTGGCCCTGACATGGTAAAAGGGTCAAGGGGTTTCTCCCAGGCCCCTTTTGTAAGGGCACTAATGCTAGTCATAAGAGCTCCACCTTCAGGACTGGATCTCCCAAAGGCCCTGTCTCTGAATACCATCACCTTGTGGGTTAGTATTTCAACATATGATTTGGAAGGGGAGGGATACAAATATTTAGACCACAGCAGAGAGTAAGAGCAGATGAGAAGAGAAGGAAGGGTGGAAGGGCCTTATAGGCTATGACAATTTTTGCTTTTTCCCTAAGACAGTTGAACAATCACTTGGAAGCATTTTTTGCTTTTCCTTTTTAAATTTATTTCTTTTTATTTGTATAGGTTTAGGGGTATAGGTGCAGTTATGTTACTTAGATATATTCTGCAGTGAAGTCTGTGCTTTTAGTGTACCCATTACCCAACCAGTGTACATTGCACTCCGTACGTGGTATCTCATCCCTCACCCGCTTCCACACTGCTTCCTTTTAAAGCCTCCAATGTTGATTATTCCACTGTGTGTCCATGTGTACCCATTATTTAGCTCCCACCTATGAGAACCTACAGTTTTGACTTTCTGTTTCTAAGTCATTTCACTTAGGGTAATGGCCTCCAGGTCTATCCAGTTGCTGTAAGAAACATGATTTTACTTGTTTGTGGCTGAGTAGTAGTCAATATGTATATACTGCATTTAAAAAAAATTTCATTCATCTGTCAATAGACACTTAAATGTTGAGTCCCTGGCCTTGCTATTGTGAATAACACTGTGATAAACATGTGAGTGCATATGTCTTTTTGATAGAATTATTTCTTTCCCTTTGTGTAGCCCAATAGTGGGATTGCTGGATCGAACGGTAGTTCTACATTTAGTTCTTGTGAACCTTCCATACTCTTTTCATTAACTTTCCCATCATCAGGGTAAAGGCCTTCCTTTTTCTCCACATCCTCGCCAACATCAGTTTTTGTTTTTGTTTTTTAATTTTTAATAACGGCTATTCTGACTGGTGTAAGATGGTATCGTATAGTTTGGAGAATTTTGAACAGAAGAGAGTCATGATCTGATTTGTGTTTGAAAAAGATCACTCTGGCTTCTATGCTGAGAATGAACAGTATGGAGGCAAGTTAGAAATTTATTGCAATAATCCAGGTGTAAAAATGCCCTGGAGCAGGGTGGGATACAGGAGAGTGATGTGGGATGGTTAAATTCTAGATATATTTTTGAAAGTGGAGATGTGAGAGTTTCTGGGTGATTGCATATAGGTTGTGAGAGCAAGAAAGGAAGGGATGTTGACTTGGATTCCCAAAGACTGCTCTTATGTGCAGTCGAAGCTCTCTTTGTACTACTCGGTGTCTAAGTGACCTGTCAGACTAATCTCCCTATTTATCCTCCTGTAAAACACAGACTGATGCAAAAGACACTTGACTCTGATGGCCATGAGGCTTCTCTATAGAACACCCCTCCATCACTACCTCCAAATCCTGTTCACATCAAATGAGTTGTTTGTGTACCAAGAATTGTTTACTTCTTTCCACAACTCTATATTCCAATTTCATTTCTAATAATTAAATTGATTAATTTAATTAATATAAAGTAATGGAGTGTGAGTTTGAAAACAAAGAATTGAAGGCTTTGGTAAGTGTGGGTAAAGGTAAATCAAAAACTTAGTTGATAAGAAAACTATGGCCAGCCGAGGCGGCTCACACCTGTAATCCCAGCACTTTGGGAGGTTGAGGTGGGTGGATCACCTGAGGTCAAGTACTTGAGACCACCCTGGCCAACATGGTGAAACCCTGTCTCTACTAAAAATACAAAAATTAGCTGGGCATGGTGGCACTCACCTGTTATCCCAGCTACTCGGGAGACTGAGGCAGGAGAATCATTTGGACCCAGAAGGCAGAAGTTGCAGTGAGCTGAGATTGCACCATTGCACTCCAGCCTGGGTGACAGAGCAAGATTCCATCTCAAAAACAAACGAACAAACAAAAACACTGTAAAAATGAGGAAAAATTATAAAAATCCATAATGATTAGATCCTCAGGTAGCTTTGCAACTATTTTTAAGTTCTTCCTCTACAGAAATTAAAACTAGAAATCATACTCACCTGGTTGTGGCTTCTGCAAGAAAAAAATGCAGACCTATCAGAGGTACATGCTTAAAGAAAGGGCTTTGGCTTTTCTGCAGGGATTGATGGTGAATATACATAATAGATGTTCATAGAACATATTGATTTGCTCCTCTTCCATCCAGCTTTTTCCCCTCCAATTGAGAGATTTGAGTCCTAGGAGTTCCAGACCAGCCCAGGAAACATGGAAAAACCCCATCTCTACTAAAATACAAAAATTAGTCAGGCGTGGTGGCATGCACCTATAGTCCCAGCTGCTTGGGGGGCTGAGGTGGGAGGATCACTTGAGCCCAGGAGGTTGGGGCTGCAGTGAGCCATGATTGTGCCGCTGCACTCCAGCCTGGGTGACAGCGTCTTTCTCAAGACGCTGTCTTGAGGGAAAAAAAAAGGAAAGGAAAAATAAATCAGTATGTTAAAGAGATACCACTCCTATGTCCATTTTAACATTATTGACAATAGTCAAGATACGAAATCAACCAAGATATGAATAAGTGGATAAAGAAAATGTGGTATTTATATACACAGTGGATACTATGCTGCCATAAAAAAGGAAATCCTGTCATTTGGATGACCCTGAAAGACATCGTTAAGTAAAGTAAGCCGGGCACAGAAAGACAAATACCACATAGTTTCACTTACATGTGGGAACTGAAAAAGTCAAACTCACAGAAGCAGAGAGTAGAATGGTGGTTATCGGGCTGGAAGGTTTGGGAAATGTTGGTCAAAGGATACAAAATTTCAGTTACACAGGAAAATAAGTTCAAAAGATCTATCATATAACTCTAATGTGGTGACTTAGTTAATAATGCATCGTTTAACTGAAAATTGCTAACAGATTTTAAGTGTTCTCACTGCGCACACACAAAATGTGAGGTAATGTTAGTTTGATTTAGCCATTCTGCAATGTGTACATATTTCAAAGCATCATATCATAGGACATAAACATAATTTGTCAAAAAAACTTTAAGTGTAAGGACATTAGAAAAAAAGATTGTTATTTTCATGCATTTGTAATTGTAGAAAAATAGAGGATCTGTAGAAACATCTTTGGCCCCCAGGGGGCGCAGGGCAGAACGAAGTCAGAGCTGAGGATTTGATCCTAGCAGTTGGCAGTCTCTGATTACCGGGGCTGCCACAGAGAGTAGAAAAAGTTGTTTGTATCCACTTCAGGAACATTCACTGTGTGGTGCTGGTAGACAAGGGTTATATATATCTAATGTCCACCTCTGGTTTCTGGTAAAGGGTAGTAAATACGCAAAAATTTCAGAAACCTGTTTACTCGTCGTCCCCTTCTGCCTGTGTGTGTGTGTGTGTGTCTCTCTTTCTGTTTGTATGTGTCTTTCACTGTGTGTGTGTCTCTGTCTCTCCCTCCCTGTCTCTGCAAAGGGGGGAGCCCACAGTGTTCCAGGATTTACTTCCTATAAGAAACACAAGAATACTGTTGAAAGTACATAAACTTGGCTAACTTAAGCAAATTCACAGTTCTAAATGTTCTGCCAACAGGCTAAAATTGCAGATTTTTCCCTTTGAGAGGAAACAAAACTCAAGCAAACCCCTCCTGTATTCTCCTTTATATTTCAGAGAAATTTCTATTGCTTAGATGTTCAGCACGGTTTTACTAATTGAACAGAATTTTTTTCCTCATTCATCCATATTTTATTGAAGGGTTTCAAGCAGCACTAACAGCACAATATTCACTGTAAGAATTTCATACACCAATATAATTGCTGCATGAATGTCATTTATTGAAATTAACATTATTATGAATACAAAATGGAAAAATGCTCCTCAAAAGAGGAAGGTGAATGTTAACCAGCAACAGGATAAAGCCATCCTCAAAAGACACAGATAATGGGAAACAGTTTCACAGTTCAGCTCTATATATGTATACTGGGGTTAGAGTTTCTCTATGTCTGCGTCTCTGCAGGTGCCAGGTTCTGGACCAAGAGGCTCAGAAATGTCTCCAGCCGCTTCCTGGATCTGTATGCAATGAGTCCTCCCTTGTTGGCCCACCGATCCACCCCAGCAGCACCCTCATTTTCCACGTGGTACACCAACTGTGGCAAATCAAGCCCTGTTTCTGGATTTCTTTCTAAGCATTCTTTCAAGTCTACTATTCCCCCACCCATGGCCCGCAGTATGGCATGAGCAGCACAAGAGTCCCACTTGAATGTGGTATCTTCTGAAAAGATGTAAATGTCAACGAGGCCTTGAACAACACAAAGGCTCTTATAACCAGCCCCAGCTGCCCCAAATATGCGATCTCCACATACACGTGACAATGCAGCTTTGATAGTGTTCTTTTCACTTGTGCTAATGACGGCTGAAAAACTGGGGGAGAATGCTGCCTCAGAGCCAGTGTTTTCAGTGTGTGTTTCACTGCTGTTTCTTCTAGAGACGGTGAGCTGAAGTGAGTGCATGTTGGTCCCCATGTAAGAAAGGCCCCAGTAGCACTGTCCTTTCCACCTGTAGAAGAAAAAATTCAATTGGTGATGATGACATTTTTTTCATTACTCATGCCTCTTTCAAACTTAATGACATGAAGAAATACACAATTCATCATAACATAGTGACTCTTAACACCTTTAAGCCTAGAAATAGATATAGGATAGCTAGTTTATTTCCAAAAGTCACTTGCGTGCATGCAGCTGCCTGCGTTGCCGCACTTAGAAATGCTTTTGTTTTATGGCATTATCACATCCAGCTAGGACAACACTAAAACAGTGATGAGGTTTCCAGCCTCCAGAATCATTGCAAAATTTCATTGCAACTTTTAGTATTTAAAGTTTAATGGGGAAAAAGGAATAGGTAAGTGATATCTTTTTTTGATCCACAAATATTTTACAATCCTTATAACAAGGTTTTCTTTATTTGGTAACTCCTTTTCATTATCTTTTTCACTAGTTTCACTTTGGCCTCTAAGACAAAGAAAGGTGAACTCAATGTTATTAGCTTTGGCAATAACAATAATTATAGCACCTTCCCTTTATTAATGCTTAACTTACTGTCTATGTCGTTACATATTTACAGATAAGGAAACAGCCTTAGAGAAAGTGAGTAACTTGCTGAGGCCTGCTCAGCTAGACAGTGGTAGAATCTGCATTCAGACCTCGAAGTCTCACTCGGAATCTGTGCCATTAGCTATTGTGTTGACCACCTCCATTTCTAGGCCATGATTCTGTCTGCATATTGTTCCAACTCCTTTTAATTTCTTATTAGCCTTTTAAAGATAACATAAACCCATTTTTAGTTTGGAAGATGGCAGAGGTAGAGGGATAATATTAAAATTTAAGAGGTATAAACACAACTATTGAAGAGCAAATGATTCTTACTTGAAGCAACTCACAGTTCACTAAGAATATGTAATCCTATATAAGTGGAAAAATATGACCTATTTCAATAAAAAACTGAAGCTGCTTGTTCCACTTGGACTTTGCCATGCCCTGGAGTCAACCCCAAAGCACAGGCCATGCACAGAGGCAAGTGGGTCCTGGCTGCTCTCTATGCTCTGTTTTTTTTTTTTTGAGACGGAGTTTCGCTCTTGTTACCCAGGCTGGAGTGCAATGGCGGGATCTCGGCTCACTGAAACCTCCGCCTCCTCAGTTCCGGCAATTCTCCTGCCTCAGCCTCCTGAGTAGCTGGGATTACAGGCACGCGC